TGAAGTAAATTATCCTCCCACTCTACACAGCAGCTGGACTACTGTGTCCAGTTCTGGGTGCCATAATTCAAGAAGGATGCGGAGAAGCTTGAGGGAGAAGCTTGAGGGAGTCCAGAGAAGAGTCATTCATATGCAATGTTCCTTCTAAGGAACCATGAGCGCGCTGCCTTGGTCTGTGAGCATGTCACCTTGGTCTGGCGTGGGACACTTATCGAAGGGGGCTGGGGGCTGGAGGCTGGGGCCTGGAGGCTGGGGGATGAGGGCCGGAGGCTGAAGCCAAGAGGCCGGAGGCTGGAGCTGGGGGCTAGGGGCTGGAGCTAAAAGGCTGGGGGCTGGAGGCTGGGGCCTGGAGGCTGGGGCCAAAGGCTGGAGCCAAGAGACTGAGGCTAGGGGCCGGGGGCTGGAGGCTGAAGTTGGGGGCCAGGGGCTGGAAGCTGGAGCTGGGGGCTGGAGGCTGGGGCCAGGGGCTGGAGCTGAGGGCTGGCATGAGCTCTGCCAGCTCCGGGGAAGTGCTCTGCTCCCCTGCATCAGGGCCAGGGAGTGCAGCACTTCCCTGGACCCGGCAGAACCCATGCCAGCCTCCATCCCTGCCTTGCCTCACCTTGGGGAGGAGCCACTGACTGCCCCAGTGAGGGTCCGCCAGCTCCAGGACACTGCTCCGCTCCCCGGCCCTGATGCCACGTGCCTCCTCGCTCCCTGAGGTCATGTGGGGGAGTGGAGCAGTGTCCCAGAGCCGGTGGAGCTCGCACCAGGCTCCTGCCCCAGCCTCTCCTGGTGCGTGGCCTTGAAAAGGCTGTGCATGGCCACACTTTTAGTTGTGCATGGCTGCGCATGCGCGCACCTTGGAGGGAACCTTGCTCATATAATTAGAGGCCTGAAGAACAAGCCATACGAGGAAAGGCTGACAGATATGCAACTGTTCAGCCTAAAAAAGAAAAGACTTCGGGGGGGATTTGGTGGCAGCTTACAAATATATTAGGGGAGAACATCAGGGGCTAGGTGAACAACTATTTAACAAAGCACCCTAGGGGAAAACCAGAAGCAACAGTCATAAACTCCTAGAAGGAAGTTTCAGGCTGGATGTAAGAAAAAACTTCTTTACCTGGTTCATTTGACCAGACTCTGGAATAGACTCCCAGCAGGGGTGGTGCAGGCACCTACCCTGGAGATTTTAAAAAGGAGACTGGATGCACACCTTGCTAGGGTTTTGGCCCCAGCAGTCTTTCCTGCCTAGAGCAGGGGGGCTGAACCTGATGAACTCACAAGTTCCCTTTCAGCCTAATCTTCTGTAAACTAAACTTCTGTGACTTTCCTGAGGATTGCCCTGCCACCGGCAGCCCCACCACACCATCCACCCCAGCAGGGTATAGTTTTAGGTCATTCCCCAGGACCAAATGCAGGCCTACCTCCCCTGGTCCTCCTTCCTTACACTGGACTCCTGGATGTTGTACCTGGGATGCTCTCTCCCCTGGGCCCCCTTTTGCAGCCTCCATCTCATGGCTTCCCTCAGTCACTGGCCCCTTCACTCTCAGGCTCCTTGTAGGATACCTCCCCTCAGGAAGCTGCATGTCAGCCTCCATCATCTCAGCGTGCTGGGCAGCTGACCACCTATCCTCTCTTTGAGAGTGATGTGCCCCCCCCATTGAAGGGACCTTCAGCCTCTTTTAGGCTTTGGACCCACCCCCAGACCAGTTGGGGTGCCAGTAGCTCTCTGCATCCCTGGCCTTACGGTGGCCTTAGGTGCCCTTTGGCCTTGGCCCTCTTGCTTTGACCAGTTGAGATTCCCTGGCAGCAGTGTAGCAGCAGTTGACCTCCCTACTCAGCAGGGGTCCCCTCTGGGCCCCACCATAAAGCCATCATTTCTTACTGGGCTGTCCTGGTGTCCCCAAGGTCTTATACAAGGCAGCCCTTTTCTCCACTGGGCTCATCTGAGCCTCTGGCCTCACCACCAGATGTAATCCAGGGCTTGCCCAGCCCCTCAGTAATCCCACACTCTAAGCCCCTTTCCTAGGCTGGTCTCGCCCTCCCTAGGCTCATAGCCATTTCCTCAGGGCTTGGGACCCCACCCCCGGGTCCATAGGAACCTCTTCCATCCCCATAGTTCCTGCCCTTGACCTCCAGGCTGTTCCTGGGAGCAGCAGAGCTCAAGCTGGGCAACGTTGCTCCAGCAGCATCCCTGCAGCAACTGCAGGCTCTGTTCCTCATGGCCTGCTCTTATACTGAAGGCTGCTCTGCCCTGCTCCAATCAGGCGGCCTCCTGGCTATCATGTGACCACCTGATTGACTCTGCAGTCACCTGCAGGCTGCCTCACAGCCTGCTTAGCCTTCTCCCTCCCTTAAAATCCGTTTTTTGGAGGGGAAGAAGGGGTGTCTCTCTGCCGTACCCCTCTGCAGGCTCCTCTGCAGCCTGCACATGCCCTTAAAGTGGCAAGCACCCAAAGGTGCTCTGCCACAGTCAGGGGGAGAACTTCTCTCAGATCTGAAAAACTGGACATCTTGGAGTGATGCCTCTTAATCTAACTGCCTAGTTCTTAGTCTAACTGATCACTTCCTGTCAGCTCCCTTCTTCTGTAGGGTTATCCTGAGGTGGCCAGTTCTGTAGGCTGACCTCATGGACTTCCTGTCCATCAGTTTACTGTGGGCTTCACTTGACTTTGACTGCCCCTCCTTTCATATGCCTTTAGGGGAGGAGCTCCGTGCATCCCCTGTACTATGGTCAGACTGAGTTGTCTCCTGCATCCTCATGTCCTGGATTTGCACGGTGCCAATGGGATAACCTTGGATACAAGCCCGCACCAAAAGGCCTCAAGGTGTTCTTCTCTACTCACATTAATGACATAGGCACTGGCTGGCAGAGGGAAGTCAATGCTGTTGATGGTGAAAACAATGTCAGGCAGTATATTGCTGGCGTTGCAGTTCATTGCGTACTGCAGGGAGGAAGGCAATACATAGAGAAAAAGATGAGTAAAAAATCTTACCACTGAGACAGAAGGATCATGGCAGAAGATGTGGTTGCATGATTAGACTACAGATGGGGATAACTCTGTGACTGAGTAATTTCTAGGGACTCAGCCTGGCACCCTGGATCCCTTAGAGGCCCCACGAGCCTCTAAAGCAGGCTGAAAGGTTGGCTTTATCAGCTCAGCCAAGACTAGATTGATGAGCCTATACATAGTTTGGCCTGTAGAGGGAGACAGAGACCATTCCTAAATTCATGTGGATGTTTGCTTAGTGGAAATGCCAGGGTAATTGATACGCAACCCTGTAGAACCCCATCCTTGCTGACTGCAGCCTGTGGGCAAGGTGCATGGAGGATCAGTGGCTTGGGATTAAGGGATTGATATCACCCAAATGTAACAGACCTCTGGCAATACCCATCCCTCCTCTGTGCCTAACCTCGCCATAGAGGTCCTCCTTGGCACCAATGAGCGACTGAATGCTGGAGACAGCATCAGGAGGTCCGGCCAGCAAAGAGGTGCCAGTGTCAATGATGGCTTGACAGCCATTACCACAAGCAATGGCTTGGCCATTCATGCTGATCCTGAGAGAGAGAGAAAGAGAGAGTGAGAGAGTGAGAGAGAAGTCAGGTGAATGCCCTAGAAGACTTCTGCTCCCATTTCCACTCAGCCCAGGATCATCTCACAAGACTCCTGTTTGGGGGGAGCTCTCCTATAGCCCCATTGTTCTAACTGCCAAGAACTTTCCCCTGCTGTCTCACCCTAGATTCCTTCCTTTGCTGTTGGGTGTCACTATTTGTCCTACCACCTTCTGGCAGTAGATGATCCCATGAAGCAGTCCAGAAGAGGTGTCAGGAGATTGTGTGACTACCTTCCACTCTCCATGTTGCTAAGTAAACCTGGACAAATGGGAAAGTGTTCCTGGTGCAAAAAAACTCACTCCTTGTTGGTAAGCTCTCTGCCTGTGGCTCTGTGGAAGGTGCTATCATGGTTCCCTGCCTCTCATCTCTTCAGGACTCCAATTTTGCTTGTCTTTTATGAGGGAGAAGGACCATATACTGAAATTTACCTGTCCACAGTGATTTGCCAGTAAGTTTCAGCAGACAGAGGTATCCATTTGAGGCTCCCCGAGTAGTAAGATGAATCGATGCCGCCAAACATCACAAAGCTCCCATTCTTTTCATCACTAGAGAACAGAGAGAGGAAACTCATGTCAGATGCAGGACTGATTGGCTATAGATACAATTGCAAATGCATGGCATGCTAAAAAAAGGACTCCAGCTGAGATAACAGGAACAGGGTGGGAGCAGAGCACTTTGTGGTGGTATGTCCTTATTTTGTGCTGGATTTGGGACAAGGTGCCAGGGGACAGGGAATAGCAACAGCTGAGTGTTAGTATTTGCTTTGATATTGTCTTACATTTTAATCTTGCCATATTTCAAAAGCTAAGATGAGCTGGTTCTGAGCAACACCTGGATGAAAGGGGTCTGAGAAAAGGCCTAAATGCTGTGCCTCAACAAGTGAAGCTCTTCTTTCCAAAACAGTACTGAGAACATGGGCCCAGTTTAATATTAGAAGATACTGAGCTTCGGAGAGTCATGTGTGACTTCTTTGGACCATACTAGACTTGGAATCAGACTAATGCCAGTGGCCCAGGAAGATAGTTCCCTCTGCCCCCTTTTTAGGCTATAATATGGCTGTTACCTGATCCCTGTCACTTTTTACAAAGAGGATGTTGAATAGTGTAGTGGTAAAATTCTGTCTAAGGGACCTCCTGCACCAAAGGAACATTCTTCTTCAAAGCTAGTGTTGATAGTAAGTAGAATTTTGACACTTTCTGTTTGCAAAAAAAAAAAAGGACCCATGCCCTACCAAAAATGTCAGCTTTTTGTCAACTCAGGGTTCCCATGGCAGGGGACTCCCAGCATACAGCTACTTCCCCTCACCTTGGTGCATCATGGGAGATACAGCCCAGTGAAGGAGACCAGCCCATGGAGGAGCATCTGAGAAAGAGATCCTGGAAGTACTCTGCCCATTGAACATGTGGGGCATTTGTACATGACATGGGGGTTTAATTCTCCCTAAATTGAAACAGTGTTTTTTTAAAAACACTGCTTCAATTTAGGGCAAAGTAAATTCCCGTGTCATGTACACCCACGTTGGAGCCTGATCCTTACCTGCCTCTCCAGCGGTGAGGAAGGGAGAGCAAGCTGCTGGCAGGCAGAGAGGTCCCTGAGCTGTGGGTTGGGGGCTGGTGTTTCTCTCCACAGCAGCGGTGGCCTCCCCCAGGTGGCACCTGCCTGCTGGCACCCAGCTCGGGCAGTCCCAGGGGGCACCACAGCCATGGAGGGAAGCACCAGGCCCCCACACAGTGCAGGCAGGCTCCGGGGAGAGGGGAAAAAGATTAGGTTCACTGGTTTTTTTTTTTTCCTTCTGTAGAGCCTGCCTTCCCAGGCTGCTGCTGGGCTGCCTGCATGGTCTCCCTACACAGTCCCTGAGCCACATGGAGCCCGGTTTGTCCCTCCGTGGCTGTAGGGTAGGAAACTAAAACTCCTCGGAGGTGTTTTAGTTTGCAGCGCCCCAAAGTCATTTGCCATATCCCAAAGTCATTTAAGGTGCATTACACTGCTGAATGTGCTACAGCAGTTGGAATTAACATTCAATATGCCAAACGTTCAAATGTGCAAACAGCAATTCCAGTAAAGCGGTGCAAAAGGCATTTAACCCACTTTCAACCCGCTTTAAAGTATCATCTACAAACGCTCCTGGACAGTATTTCTAAATGGAAACAGATCTGTTTTTGATTTCTTGTCCCCAGATAACCATTTTTTATCAAGCTTTTTTTCTTATTGGTTCTAAAACTAGGTTCTTCCAGTAGTGTAACTGAGAGACGGTGACTGTGGCAGCAGCCTCAGGTGCTGCCTCTGTGGGAAGAGGACTCAAAACTAGCCACCATTGCAGTGGCACCTGATTGTGCCACTGCAGATGACACAGCAGCAGTCTATGGTTCCCTGTACATTCAAAATGCCCTGGGCATGGAGCTGCTTTGCTATACCTCTGGATTTTTCCCAGTATAAACTATGTCTTCTGCAGTTTTCATTAGGATTGCTGTTATGTGGTTCCCCCCAAAACCTCTTTTGCCACCAGCATAGAACAGCTTCTGCATTTCACTACAGGGAGGGGCCTGCCTTTAGAGATTTCTGGTTAAACATCTCTGGGATTCCTCCATGTCAGAGGCACTACAGAACTGTGAGTTTCACTGCTGGCAGAGGGGCTGTCTCCAGCCCTGACTTACGAACTCAGGAAGACGGAGAAGAGGTCCTGGGACACCAAATCTTGGCTCATCATGTTGTCAAAGACGGGGGTGGCTGCAGAGGCAGAGATGCTGGGAAAAGCCAGACCCAGGATCCCATCAAAGGAGGCATAAGAGAGGAAGGGTCCAGGCTCAGACTCACTCAGGCCAAAGATCTGGTGGGTGACTGGAATGCCTCCAACCTTGGGGAAGGGATGTGATAATCAGACATGTTGCATCCTGGGGAAAGCTGTGTGGTCGCATTAGAGGAAACTTATGGAGCAGGGAGTCTCTGCACTAGCTCAGAAGTTCCTTACACTGTGTCCTCCCTCCTCAAAAGGATTTTGCCTATAAACAGCTAGGGTGAGTGGTTTGGGGCTGGGCTTAGGTCTCCTTCCCTGTAGCACCTTTCTGCTGAACTGGGTGGTTTTACAGGTGTAATTCACTGGACAGAGTGACTGATGGGAATGTGTACTGAATGTAGCCTTGGTATTAAAATTGGCTACATAGACATTAGAAGTATCAAGAATATTCTGAAAGCACTTTGACTCCTTCAGACTTGCCTCTGATCTGGACTAGTCTAACTACATGCTGACTGCAGAGAGAGAACTTAGCCGCACTGGCTTGGAAAGGAGAATCTCCACCAGTCACTGACTATGTGGGGCCTGTGAAGACAGCAATAGAGGTTAGTGGGATTCACGCACCCTGGCGGTTCGACAGGAGTCAGCACTGTGGATACCTTGTGCCTGAAAGTGGGTAAATAGAAACCCTGGGGGCATGGAATGATAATACGATGATCTCTGGCTTGCTTCCTGCCTTCATCTTCCCTCTTCTTTTCCCTTTCTATTTTTTTCTATTCTCTTCCCGTATTCACACCCCATGTAATTTCTATTTCAACTCCCCAATGCCATCTGGTCCTTATTTTCCCCCTTCTCCACTCCAGAAACTTTGAGAATTTAGCAGGGATTTACATGGATGATGTCATAAGCCAGGAATCCAGTCATGCTGCCAGTGCCGTACTGGATGGAGATGCTCTCATTGGTGGCCTGGTAGGTGGATGACTTCTTTGGGTTGAAGCTGTGGTGGTTTTCTGCAGGGACAGCGGAATTGAATTGTCACAGACTGACCCTTCCTGGATCCACAAAAGGAGAACAGGGCAGTGCTAACTGTTGGAAGGACTGGGTGATGAGGACATTTTGTATTTTGCCACCCAAGGCAGGTAGCAGCTTTTGTGCTAATGATCACAGTCTTTGCTAAATACTCCTCTGGACAAAATGCAGTTGCAGCACATACCACAAGGAGGAAGTCTTTGCCACTGAGCTCTATGGCCTGAACCTGAGTGGCTCACTTCTAATCTCTGCTGGGATAAGTTCCTGCTCTGGCCATTGAATGGGGTTTGGTCTTGAGCTCTACCCCATCCCTGAATGGGGCCGTGTCCCCCATGGTTGAGCTTGCCATGTGCCTAAATCTCCAGGTACCATTACCATTACACAAAGGTTAATGAAACCTGAACTGCTGCACCCCCACCCCCCGCATCATCACCAAAAGCTTCTACCAGGATTTCATACCCTTCACAGAGCAGAGATCCCCACCCAAAGCTACTTTAGCCTCCATAGATGCTCCCTCACAGAAATGGGCTTCCCAGCTTGGCTAGAGCCCTACACAGAGCACACTTTTGTCAGTGACCCACCTCTGCCACCTTCCTTCCCTGCATATAGGAGGACTCTTTCTGAGGGACTCTGCTGATCTTAGCCCTAGGCAGATAGTGACTCTCAGGCAGCAGGCCCCAGGCTATATCTCACCTTTGAAGGAGGCCTAGTCTCACTTGGGGCAGTTTCCATCCCTGATATGCCTGATTTCCTGAACTGAGCTTCACATAGAACAATGAGGATTGGCGTGATATGGGATTTGTGTGGATGTAGTAAATCCACACCACTCACCATGAGCAAATTGGGACATAGTCCTGCTAGGACCCATTCTCTGTCAGATAGCATCATACTGCACAGTTAGGGAGAAGGTGGTATAGGGACACCTATTGCTTGTTTGTGTCCAAAGGCAAGAGAATTTATATGTGGCTTACTGCAGGCTGGGCTGGAGCAGTACACAGAGGGCACCCACAGGTTGGAGGAGCCAGTGTCAAAGAGGACGGTGAACTCCTGGGCTGGGGTGCCGATGGAGATGGTCCCAAAATACTGAAGCTGTAAAAGCAAGAGAGAAATGTTTCAGGAAGAGAAAGTCATTTCCGTGTGTGGGTGATCCTCATCTGTCATAAAGAAGAGCTTCTTTTCCAGCTGATTTGCACCAGCTGAAGGACAGGGCCAAGGAACAGACAGGGCCAAGGAACCCATGTTAGGAACAAAGCCTGGGCTGGTGTTTCTCTGGTAATGAGTTTGCCCTGCTCTGCTCCTCATAGCTGCCAGTCTGGTATTGGAGGGTTTCTGGCAGCAGGGAGGTGGCACATTGGCCAGTGGTGGTTTGGAAAATTGGTTGTAAAAGGAGTGAGGTACATTTATTAAATTGTGGTGGGCTTGCTGACAGCCGCCCAGCTACTGACTTGGAAAGGGCTTCAAAGGATTGATGGGGATTTCCCACCAATCAGGTGATGGCAAAGGAGGAGCTTGCCCCACCCCTGCCCCAGGGGTTGGGGGGAGACTAAGAGCCAGACCTGGTTGAGGACTGCACATCCCCTCTTCCTGATTGGTCCATTCATAATCTGGGGGCAGAGCCTCCAGAGGGAATAAAAGAGCTGCGTGCCCAGCACATGGGCGGCTGCGACGAGGAACAAAGAAGAGAGGAGGAAAAGAAGAGCTGGTAAGAGCTGGCCAGCAGGGCAGAACAGTTGTCCTGAAGACCCTGAAGACCTTTTTGCTGGATGGGAGTGGCAAACAGCCATGCCAGCCCTGCTGCTGAGGAGCGTGGTGTTGGTGCACAGCTTGGTGCACATAGTGGGACGTTGGGAGCTGCACAAGGTAGCTCGGGTCTCCAACCCCTGGCACGGAGCCAGGCACTTGGTGCATGAGTGGTGTACAAAGAGAGACCCTGGGAGCCTCTTGGAGGCAGTTCGGGTCTCCAACCCTTGGCACGAGGCCAGGAAGTTGGTGCAGACAGCACTGCATGGTGGGTCTGGGAGTGGACTGGGGCCCTGGGACATGTCGGGACAGCTCAGGTTTGCAACCCCCTGGCACGAGGCCAGGAACCCGGCGCAGGCCTATGCCTGGAGTGCCCGGGAACAGACAGAGACCTTGGCGCCACGCAAGGTGGCATGGGTCTCCTACCCTGAGCAAAAGGCTTTTCTTTCTCAGGGGATATTCTGACTGGGGTGAAGAAGGCCAGAAGGGCACTGGGGATCTTTTCCCCCATTTTCTTGTCACTGGGGCACAGCCACTGCTCCAGAACAGCCTGGACCTTGGTGTCCCTTACAGAGTTCCTCTGCACCTTCATGCGCCTTATATTTTGTGAGTTAGCGCCTCATATTGTGTGTATTTGCATTTTATGGTTCTGAGTTGGTATTTCAATAGAGTTTCATATTACCTGATCTTTATCCTTTGTTCCAGTTTACTTACCTGTATCCTGGGGGGGGGGGGGGGGGGGGGGGGGACGGGGGGGGGGGGGGAGGGGGGGTAAAGGAGTGTACGTATATTGCATATAATACCATGTTTTGTGTGTGTGTGTGTATTTATTTATATTTATTTATATATATTCCTTCCTATGGTTTATTTTATTAATACATTTGTATATAGTTCAGTTCACAGAGTATCCTGGCTTGACTCTATAGGGGAAGGAGGGAAACTGCATGCAGGCAACAGTTTCATCCCACAGTGTACCTGTCCTGCTAACCTTTCCCTTTGATTGGAGAGTACATAACCAGGAACTACCTGTGTTACAAGATCGTCTTTTTTTCCCCCTGGGGCCTGGCCAGTTCTTCTGGGTATACCATTGAGACTGCAAGACAACCTGGAGAGTATATACCATAGCCAGTGCCCTGGCATACTCACATCGAGACTGTTTTTCATGGGCTCAGTGGCATCCTCATTGATGATACCAGGGATGTACTTGGAGCCTAAGTTGTAATGATGATTCTTCAGGAAATCCAGCAGCAAGCCCTGTTCCTTAAGCGTCGTCCTCAGGGGTTTCCTTTTCTTCAATGGAACTCTGAACAAGAAGGGCGTAGTGAGCAATTGATTAATAATAGTAATAGACCAGCTTTATGTTCAAGAAATACAGATCAGCCCAGCATTTGCGCATACATTGCACATTGCAATAATAAATTTTATTATTATAGCTGGGATTATCTGAAGAAAAAAAAGATGTAGGGTATTGGGTACAAAAACCATTTTACAAGTCACTAGGATTTGGGCAGATACTTTTTTTTTGGAACCTGAACAATCCCAGGCCATATGTAATATAATAGCATCTGCAGGATCCACCATGCTAAATACTGTGAAAATCTAATTTCCCAGGAGAAAATTTAGGGACTGATCTCCTATTCAATTAATATAGCATAAAGAGTGAAGTCTGACAGAACTCAAGGATGGTCAGAGGAATTTATCACAGGAAATAAAGAGCTGTGAAATATATTAAAGTAGCATCTGGAGGGTTCTCAGAAAGGGCAGAAAGTTTGTTGGGAAATAAGAGTGGCCAGGAAAGATTTGGTCAATTTAGATCTCACAAACAAAGGGAAGTTGCAGCTAGGGCTTATGGAGTGGAGAAATCACCTTATACAGGAGATCAAAATGTAACAGAGCACAGAGGGAGTCAGCTGTCTGGATTTGGAGCTGGACCCACTTACCTTTACAATAGTTTTTAACCCCATTGGATGATGCAGACACCCAATATTTCTGAGAGAAATTCCCTGGGGAGACTTATTAGGCTCATCTGAACTTCAGAGCCCATATGAATGGCTAGAAAGGTGGAAAGGGGGAAGGTGGCTTAGCAACCAATTTGAGCAGTCCAACTCTGATACAGGTTTCAAAAGGCGCAGTTCATTCAGGAAAGACAGAAATAGAGCTCAGTAAGAATTGTGCATTAATGATGTGAGAGAATGTAAAGCGTTCAAAAAAAAGATTGTGGGGATAAAAGAGTCTTTTTAAGTCAAATCATTTTGGGTAAGGAATATAATAGTAATTCTACAGAGTTAGTGCTAGAGGTCTACCTTAAACTTCAAGGGTCAGACCTTTAGAAATAGAAATCTCTTTGTGTGTGAGAGAGATGCTACTGGGAAACATGTCATTATAGAAACCTTTAAATTTCTAGGTATAGAGTACAGAATAAAGGCTTCTAATTCTGATAAAGCCCAGATATTCTTGGTTGTGATAATTCATGGATTCATTTACCAAATGGTCATTGAATCAATTGGATATATTGCTGTTTTAGATGCAATTGTAGTCAGCAGTGATGTTTTAGAAGAGTGGGGGGTCATAGCAAACAACCTTGGATCATAAATTGATGTTTTTTCAATTTCAAAAGGACAGACTTTGAGAAACGATGGAAACTAGTTAATGGAGGCAGGAGGCTTGCAGAGCTCTGGGACTTGAATGTGGAGGTTTGTGATTTCTGTAATTCAAAGATACAATAACCAATTTGGAATGTGCATCCCAAACCAGGGAGGAAGGGGGAACTTGTAGG